TAGCAATAACGTAAAGGATAAACTGTAAAGTTAATTTGATTTCTCTTAGATCAGTCATTTGAGTCTTATTTTATGTCTTTTAGTTTGTTAAATTTTGAACTCTGTGCCGATCTTATGATACAAGTACTTTCCAACTAAATTTTACAGTTTGTTCTTATGTTTTATTGTTACCAAATTGTACCAGGTCAAGTTGAGCGCTTTAACCCCGATGCCTTCTATATGTGTTTGTCTAAAGTCACGTTACATTGCTAAAAAACTACTTTATAAAAAAAAAACGCGGATTTGAATTATCGAAGGGTCACACATTTGAGTTCCTTGACGTCACAGGACACAGATTTAAGGAAAGGACACACATTTGAGGCTAGACATGAATTTTACTATTACATATATATGTTATTAAAAAAATGCAATACATGAAAAATGCCATTTTGGTCTAATTTCAACACGAGAAAAAATGTTTTTATTGGTATCATTAATAAATAAAAAAAAAAGTGATACCGTTAAAATTTGATCACAAGGAACCGAATGTTTATTAATGTTCTTCATTTCAAAGTCACAGTGAGGCCTTCAACATCGAGAAACACTTTCACCTTACTGCAAGTTCAAGGCGGGTCACTAAGTACCAGTTTGAGCTAGATGTTTTAAACGGGCACTAGCTGTCAAATTCATGTTCACCGATTGGACTCAAATTCTCATATTTGATTTATAACAATGTAAAACATTTATCCAAAGTATAAAAAGTCTAAAATAAACAATTTACAGGGCATGGGCTCGAGAATATGTAACTTCGTTTCGTGTGTATTTTAGTCTAGACGCCATCTAATTAACTATCGAGTTGACCTACGTGGACCTCCGATGGTCATATAAGCGATATAAACACAAATATAGATATAAATAGAAAGTGAACTCGTGCAATTGGATTTTTCTAGGTCTGTTTAATTTTATATTATAGATTAAAAATATATGTTAATCATTGTTTTTACCTGTATAAGAATGATGTTTTGTGGATCGAATCAGTCAATCAAATGATTTACCTTTGTTTCACTTTCAATGTTGACATTCTTTTCCTTTAAATAACTCAACACGCACAATGCATGCGTTATCCATCTCTAGTTAAGGGGTTAAATTGAAGTTCACATGAATACGGATTCAATGAGGTCGAATTATTCAGTTGCAATTGAACAATTCATCATCAATGTTTCTTAGCTTATTTTGACAAAATTGAACAATATTGGTCGCTAAAAGCGAATAATTATTTCACTATTTCACTTTCATTAATGATTGAACAAAAAAAAATCATATTTCAAATTTTTATATATCTCGTAGCTAGTGCCCCTTTAAAAGCACGCTACATATATGCATCACAAATTAGTAATTATACCTGGCAAAGAAATCCAACAAATGCTGTCATAAATTGACGACAATCTCAATATATATATGTCGAAGACATCTCATGGTAACATTTGGTTTTGATCAAGGCTGTTGCTCAAATCTAAATGTCAATTGGAAGGCCTCAATGATAAAATTTTCACTTTTGCAGTTTTTTTACTTAAAGTTTTAAGTTTGAAGACCCGAAACAGATATGAAAGGCAACGTTTAGATATATCGAAGGAACCAAACATTTTCTTATCGCAAACCTTCACCGTTAGCGCATGTAATAGTACATTGAAATCAAAATGTGTCGATAAGATAATAAATCAAGAGAACCAAGATAGATGTTCGGATTGTTCAAAAATGCAATATCATTGGCAACCATACCACGTCTTCTTATCTTATATATAAGCATCGCTTTTGTCTTTTCGAAACCTGCTACATACATGTAGATATTTTTATACTCACAATTTGAAGAGTTTTACCTTAACTATTTTACTGGATATACTCCTGATTTAAAAATTTGATGTATTTTTTCTTTATTTCATGATTTTTGCCATATTTCTTTGTCTTTATAAAAGCAGTCATTAGAGTTTAGAAAAATGAAGTTCTGTCTTATACTGTATTTTGAATACCTGATAGTTTTTAACATCTTTCATGTTTGTTTTCATAGTATAATGTTTCAAAGTATATGTGCTTTTGATCTTGTAGGAGTAAATTTAAAAAAAAAGACAAATCATGTGTCAATCGTTATTTAATATTTCTTTTTATCATTCATAAAACGTATTATAAAGTTAAATCATGGAAGTAGTATATATATATATATATATATATTAATATAATACTTCCATGACAAAATCAATAATTCTTTACCAAACATTTTTAATACAATTTACATGCAATTATCCTTATAAAATATACAATTACAATTACAAATATAAAAAAAAAACAATCATGAAGTGATTGCATGAGTACAAAAAAGTGTAATAACAGGAAATAATATTCAGTTTTTTTTTTAATATAATCGGAGGTGACTACGTGTAAATAATTCTGATGTTCTGAAAACAGAATAAAGAAGTAGCCATAGACCATTTTATATACACCAACAGCTTCAATGGTATAAAAAATGAGTCTAAAATAGTCCCGTGTGATTTTCAAATGACAGGTCTAAAAATATGATTTTCTTTAAAAAGACATATTTTGAGAATTTTGCAATTGGCGGGAAATAAAGTCATGGAAAACGACCCAAGTTTATGTCGTCGACGTAATGTAGCAACATATCTCAGCAGTATCTTGTAGATAAAGAAGTGTATACATATGAACAGTAACAAATGATCTGTCTGACAGATTAGAAGTGGGTGGATGGCATTCTCCTGCCCATTTATAGAATATGATATGATTAACTAATTCCGCTGACTTGTGTTTATATGATTATTGCTTATATGACATATAAGTCTTTGATGTAAACTTTAATATTTTCCAACTTTTTTCATGTTTAACTTTAATTGTAAACGTTGTAGATTTCGATTAATACACTGAAATATGTCTTTGGTAGCAAACTTGATGCTAGGACCTTACAGCCTGTATCCGTATGCATACTTAATGTTGTTTAGGTGACAGGTATAAACACTGTGTTCATTAGGAACTTAATATTTAAAAGTTTATTGTTGACCTAAAGATAGAATTCTGTTCTAACTTGACAATATCCTGGACGCAGTGACACGTCAGGTCGACCAGTTATCTCCGTTAATAAAATGGCCATTGTTTTTCTTTGTATTAGAAAAGTCATAATGAAACTTTCACTGATCCTTTACAACTGTTTAACATCAGATTTTGACTAAAAATCGAATGATTGATTTCTATTATCTATATCAAAGCATTTTAGTGTTGTTTGTTTCACCTTTTGAAGCCAATCTCAATACGTGATCAGCACAATGATTTGTAACGTTTTAAATTAACCCATCTATTAACTCAATCCCGTTTCTTTGTGCATCTTCAAGACTTCTTAGCTTAAGAATTATTGCGATAACAATTACTTACTCTATATAAAGAGATAAATACTAAGATAGATAATCAATTTATGATTTATAGACGCCTTTCATGAAACCAATATCGTTAATTAAGCTCTATAAATCATGAATGATAAGGTGATGAATTCAACATAACTTCAATCTTTTTCACGAGTTAAGGGCCCCATTTTCCTTCAATGGTTAAATTGTCAGTTATTAATGCACTTTTGTGTTGTATTGTCGTTCTTCTAAAGAATGGACAGAATATAGATTTCCTACTTCTAAAAGAGAAGAGTGACACATAGAGAAATGGCGACAGAGGTGATATGGAAGAGTCATGATGGGACCCAGAAGATGTTTGTTCATAAAACAGTCTTTTGAAATGGAAACCCGGACATGACATGTTTATAATCTGTAATGTTAAATGGAAAAGATCGGTGACATATAGTGAGACAGGATTCATCTGCCATGCTATATAAACAGCCATTATCAAATGAGATCAAAGTGTAGCAGCTATAATCTCGTAAAAGGAATGAAACGCCATATCTTTTCTATTTGTCATTCGAGGTGCAGACATGAAAACAACGTTAACATAGATGCGCTTGGGATTTTCATTTGAATGAGTGGCGACCTTAAGCAGCAGGGCAAACTCGAATAGCCTGTAGACCATGTTGAGCACGTGTAACTGACACAGCCTTTTATGGCTAAATAGATGATTGATGACTTCAAATTGACGATAATTAATTGGAGGCGGCAATTGATACAAATTAGAAAAGTCAATGGCGAAAATAAGAAATTGATATGATTATTGATTATACAGTTAAGGATATTCGATCAGCTTAAGAAGTATTTAATGAAAGATCATAAGAATGCATGACTAAACGGAGACTGTTGTCTTTATATATGTGTTTTTATCTTTGTTATGTAATTCTTGTTTCATATAAAGCTTATATTTTTTATGGTTACTAAATGGTCTCATAAAATAAATGTTTTAGATAAGACTTTATTAATCATATATAATCCCAATGTATTGCACTATGCACTATTCCAGGAGCTATCTAATGTTATTAGGTTCATTTACAAACGACGAATAAGGTTCTCTCTCTCTCTCTCTCTCTCTTTTCTGCGTGTGTGCGCTTTTTCACAGATTTTGTTTAAAGGAGGTGCACTGAATACATATTTCTTAAACGATAAGTAAAAAAGAGCTCCAATTTATTTTCATATGAATTTTTTTCATGAAATTCTCTAAAACGGACACTAAACTGAATCTAGCAAAAAAAGAAGAAAATGGTAAGCATTCAGTAAGGTTTAATGATTTATGATACCGATTTCAGAACACACAACCCCTTTTACTAGAGTAGCCTTCACCGGGTACGCTGAAGACCAAACTATGTTGTACTAGTAGACTGTGCAACTAGATCTTTAATACTAAGCAATAGTTTAAAGTCACTTTAAATTGGCTTATGTTCGGAGTTGACTTTATTTTTTCTTCCTTCAGCTAAATTGTATATCTGTAATACTGTATATCATTTTTTTACTTGCTAACCGTCAAGTGAAAAATAATTCGACACGATGCTACAAGTACAATGAAACTTTTGCAAATACATCACTGACAAAAAATAGTTTTAATAAAGTTTTATTTTACATCTGTCACATATACATTCATTTTTTTCAAATAAAAATATTTAATATAATTATTCCCGCTGTATATATTTCTTCAACAAGAAGGTTCATTTAACTGCCAAAATCATATTGGCACTGCCTTGTATCGTACTTCTGTAGTATATTAGTATAATACAGATCATTTACCTGACAAGTTGAAAGGTATAGTAGAACTAACTTTACGTACACATCATCATAAGCCATACGTATTTGAATGAACTTAGAAATGTTTCTCCAATAGTCAAAAAATGATGTGGAAACTGCAGAACGTTGTCTCTTATATTTGGATGAAGAAATTTTTATTTCCAAACGATGATCTCTTTTAAATTAATTTCTTATATTCTATTGTTCTTTTATAGTCTGTTTACAATATTAGCATCTCATGTTATATAATTTCTGCACACACTCCTTGAATTTCAGTCAAATGTTGAGTTTTTTAAACTACCGATCAAGGATATTTATTTTATTTGGATACCGAATGAAAATGTAACATTTGACTCATGAATGCTAAATATTTATAAAAAAACAAAAACCCTTTTTTCACTCAAATATAAGAGACAAGGTTATAATGTCTTCTTTTAAAAACACAATCAATAAACTACATGTAAATCTGGGAAACAGGTCTATGAAAGATCTGAAGTCATAAAATTCTTATTGCTGATATTGCACTACAAATGAAATTCATTATCCCTTTGTTTTCTAACATTTCACATATATAAGTATGTATTTTTATAAATTTTTGTTTCTACAAAGAATAGTAACCGAGGATTATTTCACCATTCCTTACGTACTAATGAGGTGAGATATAAAAAATGCTATTAAATCTTGTCAATTATACAAATATTTTTTTTAAAGAATTGTGATTAATTACACGTAAAATTCTTCTTTTATCCTGTATCTAAACATTTGTTATCCTAAAAAGTTCTAGATGAAATGGGATTATTTACACGTAACAAATGTTTTACGGCTACTATAATTTCTAAAATAGTACAAATAAATTCATTTACGTATTTTAAGCAATTTTTCAAAGTCATTTTGAAAAAGTGGCAAGATTTGGACACAGCAAGAAATGTATTTCCTTTCTTTATCAAGATAACAACCTAACATGGCACATTGCACATTCCTCGGGCACCGTTGAAGGTGGCGAGAGCTAAATAAGCTTTTGATAACAAAATCCTGATTAATGATAGACTAATGAATATAAGCTTTCCTCTGTCAATATTGGGTGATATATTGAAAAGTCGTGGTTGTTATTGAACAACCGTTTGAATAGAATTGTCCCTACTAGCGTTCTTTGGTCTAGCATGAGGTTAAATCTATTTACAGACTTTAATTTCCTTAAAGTTCATTGTATGAAAATAAAGTACCAACGTTTAAAGGGTCGACCTCTTATTGGATTTTAAGGCTTAAGGTACAAATGACTATATGACGTTTAAAATTGATTACTTTTTCTCGTTCCTGGGCCTCCCATTTACTTACCTTTTTAACTCGGAGAAAATATTTCAATAAAAAAATATATTTCCGGGTTTGCTTATGTTCCTTTTATTAGAAAAAGAGAGGCAATACTCTTGCTCTTGCTATCTTTTTAAAATGTGATTTGTCACATTTTTTTTTTTCAAATTCCAACTATATATAAATTAAATACAAATCTTGATAATAAATGTTAAAAAGTTCAAAACTGAAAGGAAACAATAGCAACATAACATAGCCATGTGCCGTAATGGTTCAACTAAATTATTTCTAAAACATTGAAATCTTGAAAAAGGCAACTATCATGACTATCCTGTCAAACTAACCTAAAATATAAAATTTTAGAAAGCTATATTATATCGATAGGCCGATTAATCTATTACAATATAGAAAAAATCCCTAACTTCCGGACTTACAAAACAATTTTTTTCAAATAAAATTGTCGCTCAGAAAAAGACTTCAAACGGTATAGATAAACAAGAATGTACCTGTAACCTGTATCATGTATAGCTTATCACAGATTTCGAATAACAGAGACGAAACAGGTATATTGGCTAAAATAAGGATATAATTAAGTAAAAGGCAAACATCGAACCGAATTTAAAAGACTATTGGGGGATTTACAACACTTAACGTTTTGGTGAAATGTTCGTTGGAATCATACAAAGATAAAACACAGGTGGACCATTGACGAAATAGAACATAAGTCGCATTTTAATATTCAATCCAGGGAATGAAATAATCAAAATACTGCAAGTCATTTGATACAAATAAATAAACCATTGAAAAAATGATGTTTTCAGATATGGATGTAGTACTTTAGTTCTCTTTCGATGTGTATTCAGTACTTTCAATATTGTACCTAAAGATCTAGACATTAACTCGAGTCATACTATATGCATGGTTAGTAATGGAATCTTTTACCGTTAAATATGTCCTAAAACAGAACTATGGAAAAATGATATATTTAGTATCGAAACAATTTTTAATGGTGTCTTGGGTTTCATTCATTAAGATCACAAAACCTAATACTATCTTATCTTATTTAAAAAGGTCATATGATGAGCATCCCATACAAAGTCAATCTATGAATATATTTTTTAATTACAAAAGAATAATACCTAAAACATCAAGTTTTCAATGAATTTGTAAATTAACTTCGCCTTTTGAAAAGAAAAAAAAATAGAGGCACCAATGGGCTAGCTCCGTTCACCTGATTGTTTGTAGGGAGTGAATCTGAATAGTGACCTCTTTAATTCAAGAATGATTGAGGGAGCCTCGTTTTTCATCATATAGGAACAAAATGGAGAATTTTTAGGAATCCATTATCGTTACATGCATTATTATTGCTTTTTCTTAAAATATAAATGCGTGTGGCATTATTGTTTCCCAACCGACAAATGGGGAATCTTTGTAGTGTGTTGCATAATCGTCATGTTTGAAAAAGTCAAGTCTATTTGGCTTTAAAAGTTCCTAACAGAATCCAACAGAGTCGAAATGAAGCGGATTTAAGCAACTATTGGTCACAGTACGGCCTGCAACAATGAGCAAAACTCATATCGTATAGTCAGCTATAAAAAGTCCCGACATGACAAAATGTAAAACAATTTAAACAAAAAAACAAAAACAAAAACACCAACGGCCTGATTTATGACAAACCAATAAAAACTTTGTTCGGATTGCTTATATAATTTTACAGGAAAACATAATTGTAAAAAGAAGTTGACTGTCGGCGGACTGAAAGCGATGGTTGTAACTAATATTATGGGCCAGATGACCTCACATCAATGTCAACATTTAAAATTGTAGCTACTAAAGTTATCTTAAGTTGCAATATTGTCTATTTGTTTCTCGTTAAGTTAAAAGAGGGAGTTTAACTTCATTGTGTTTTGTATTGTGCATTCAAATGAAAGCATTAAAAGACTTTGGGTCGATTGTTTTCATGAAATTTCACAGACAGGTTTTCACTCCAACTAATTGTAGGCATGTTTGGTTAAGGAGGAAATGTTCCTCATAGCTAATGAATATTTATGGCAGTGAATTAAATATACACCTCTCACATATACTGAAGAAATAAAATAAAAATGTACATCTCATAATAACACCAAGAACAATAAATACAAAGTGAGTTCATATGACCTTTACCTTAAAGGCTAACTTAATAACTAACATGTCAACTTTATTACGGTCTTTCTCTCTGCTAGCCAAATACTATTGCAATGTAGAAAGATCCAGCCAGTGTCCACATATAGCATTTTTTAAAGAAAATCACGTGGTATGATGTGAACACATGGCATATGATAATGTTATTGCAACTTTGTTAATTTATTCCACCATCAATAGTTGACGGATCCGTTTCCACATATAGCACTATAGCCTTGTCATTGCAACGTTATATGAGATTCATATTTACGATAAATTAGAATCAAGGTAGTCACTTAAATGATCGTTTAGTTTTCCGGAACTGTCCGACGTGTCTTCGTCCATGTCCGAATTTCCTTCCATATCCTCAACTTGTTCTTGTTTCTTTTTAGCTGTTGCCATTTCAGCAGCATGTTTCTTTCTCCATTTTGTGCGTCTGTTTTGAAACCACACCTGAAAATATGAACATTGAATATTAGGGAACATGTATTGTGATAAGATTCAGAACTGTCAAACAAAGAAATGAAACAGGTATTCATTCTCAGTTGTTTAAAATCATAGCGAATTAGATGTTGCAATAAAGTTCAGGCCTGTGTGCATTGAAGAAGGTGTTATCTGGTGACCATTTTATAAAAAGATATGTTAATGAATTGTAGATTTCCGTTATTGTGTTGCTGTTCTCTCTCTCATCACAGTCCAATATATGAATATACGACAAACTTATTTTAACAAAAAATAAGAAAATGAAAGGTATGTCTACCCACAATAAAAGTTCAACAACGATATAATTTTCACAACACCACAGTCAGTAAAGATAATTTAGAAAATACGATTATTCAAAAATAATTCACTGGCAACTCCATACAAATTAATTGCATTAACAGATAAGCAACAGAACATACAACCCAGATACCATCAAATTTTTTCAACACAAAAGTACATTCGGAAACCCATTTAATTTTCTCAACCACAAAAGTACAGACATGAACCATTCAAATTGGTCAACCACAAAAGTACAGACATGAACCATTCAAATTTGTCAACCACAAAAGTACAGACATGAACCATTCAAATTTCTCAACCACAAAAGTACAGACATGAACCATTCAAATTTCTCAACTACAAAAGTACAAACATGGACAATCAAATTCTCTCCAACCACAAATGTACAGACATGAACCATTCAAATTTCTCAAGCATAAAAGTACAGACATGAACCATTCAAATTTCTCAATGATAAAAGTACAAACGTGAACCATTCTATTCTCTCAACCACAAAAGTACAGACTTGAACTAAGTCAGGAATCTGATGTTCAGTAGTTGTCGTTTGTTAATGTGGTTCATAAGTGTTTCTCGTTTCTCGTTTTTTATATAGATTAGACCGTTGGTTTTCCCGTTTGAATGGTTTTACAATAGTAATTTTTTGGGGCCCTTTATAGCTTACTGTTCGGTGTGAGCCAAGGCTCCGTGTTGAAGACCGTACTGTGACCTATAATGGTTTACTTTTATAAATTTTGACTTGGATGGAGAGTTGTATTATTGGCACTCATACCACATCTTCTTATATCTATTGAACCATACAATTTTCCCAACCACAAAAGTGGAGACATGAACCATCCAATTTTCTCATCCACAAATTACAGACTTGAACCATCCAATTTTCTCATCCACAAAAGTGCATACAAGAACCACCCAATTTTCTAAAACACAAAAGTGCAGACATGAACCATTCAATTTTCTCAACCACAAAAGTACAGACTTGAACCATCCAATTTTCTCATCCACAAAAGTGCAGACAAGAACCATCCAATTTTCTAAACCACAAAAGTGCAGACATAAACCATCCAATTTTCTCAACCACAAAAGTACAGACTTGAACCATTCAATTTTCTAAACCACAAAAGTGCAGTCATGAACCATCCAATTTTCTCAACCACAAAAAAACAGAGTTGAACCATCCAATTTTTCTAAACCAGGAACAATAACACTACAGTAAAGTAGCCTGAAAAATATTGTATTTTCTGTGTAATGGGAAACCACGAAACAGTAGTCAAGACAACATCAAATATTGCATGTAGACTATACGAGAAACAAACAAATGAACTCAATGAGGAAATTATGCATGTAGACTACGAAAAACAAAGAAATTAATTCATTGAGAGTATTCATCATAATTTCTGAAAATCGAAAACTCTTTCGCCAATTCGTTATCAATATAAGGCAAACAATATACCCGTTTACTGCCAGGAAATCACATTGTATGGAGAAAGAGCAACAACACTACATTTTCCAAACAAAGGTAAACAAGAGAACAGTATAGTCCCGAAAAATAAATTTCTAAAGAAAAGCTCTGTTGGGAAATCGTCACATTTAAAGCAGACATAGCAGTAATCCGTAAAACCATATTTATTCTACACCAAGAGAATCAGCAAAACAGTAAACCCCAATTTTCTGTACAAACAACGTTACAGTACAGTCAGAAAACCACCAATTTGCTACAGATAGAAAAACTATGCAAATGTGCAGTTGGAAAAAAACATCATATTTGTTTAGACAAGTATGAAAAGACCTGGAAAATGGTAAAATATCACCTACAATATCTTTTTACTTTAAGAGATTTTAAGGCTAGATCGTCTAAGCAATCCAATAAATCTATCTTTTTATTCAAGACATCCAAATCATATTAGTCCTGATTCGTCTCTGATCAGGTTTTATACCAATACATCACGAATACAAACAAAGCTATAATTCTTAGTCAATACAGTTATTTGTTGAATGTGTATCATTGGAACTTAAAATGAAATAAATTAAAATATATTTTGCAGATATAGCTTCCACTGATTGTCTTTGTAAATAATAAAAGTTGATTTACATACAAATGAAACAGTTAAAATCTACAGCTTGTTGACATAGAATTAATGTGATTGGTAATTGTGAATTGCTTTTTGACAAATTACTGATAAACTAAATGGTAAATTTCTTATAACAATGAATTGCATTTTTGCAAGAATATACAAAATGGAGATGTTTTTTTTTATTATCGTACTTTAAAAGTCCTTATTTTAAGTGCTATTCTAAGTTCGTATGCTAAGTCCTATTCACAACTATCGACATTTCAATTTGCAAAAAAATCCAGAAAAGAAGTGTTTGTCTTCTGTTTTAAAAAAAAATATAAATAAACTCGGTATGACATTCCAAAACGTTTGAGTCGTGAACGTATAGATCCTCGTTAAAACATAGTTATGCCAGTTTGTTGTGTTTTTTTTCTCAGGAAAAATCGAGGGAACCGTTTCTAAAAAAAACAGCACACACACAACGAAACCAACAATTGTGGAGAACAGATAAAACAAAACTCATCTTTGCCACGAAAACTTCTTAATTTATTTCCAAATGATATTTTACGATAGCAGTTGTTAATCCATGTATTTTTTTTACTTACATACATATAACAAATAATATAAACAGAACAAAAACAAATGTGCAAAGTTCAGTTATAAACTTCTTTAATAGGAATCAAAACATGGTGTAATATTGCAAGAACCAAAGAAATTTATTGTGTTTATAGGAATATAATTAATACGAATAAGCGGCAAATTTGTAATTTAGCTATTTGATTCTATTATTTACAAATTATATTTCATCAGAAGTGAATTTCTTGTATATGTTTTTCAATAAAGAAACGATTTGTGTTTAATTCGGCACGATCCTTAGCGGCAACAGGTGTCCATAAATATGAGAAATTCATCTTATATACTTTTGAACACAACTAATTATCCATGCGAATGGCTTCTCCAAATATATCTCGATATGTTTCAAGTAAAAATACAAAAGTCACAAGTTATGTTTGCAAGTAAGAAAAATAATTATTTGCCGGTGTTCTTTGAAACAAAGGTTTCAAAGTGTGACGTGTACAATTGAAACTTCAGACAAACGAAGAGGTAAATGGCAATGACTAAATATTTTACTAATACACCATCTGAAATAAAATATATTATCAGTATATATAATTATAATAAATTTGAATTCCGATGATATATTAGTGGAACAAATCATCGGTTGAGAGTGCTATAGCACTGGAAAATATGTATATTGTATCGTCATTAAGTTGCACGATTTATATTCCCGATGAGGATCCGCTGATGGTATATATATAAAACTCTCAAATATGTACTTCAGATCCAGAAATACGACAGTACAACCGTTATTGTAGGACGTGTGCATCAGAAATATTTAATTATGATTGACTTAGAATGAGCCATGAATGTCAGAAGGATCTATACAAAACAAATGGTAAAGATGGAACCTCATGAATTGTAGATTGGTTAAGAGTACAAAAACACGTACATTTGTACATGAATATAGTTAGCAGAAAACGTAGTGCTCAGTCATTTGTTCTAAAGAAGAAAGAAAAAAATTTATTCAGATAAATTGCATTGCCAGAGTTGAAGCTATCAAATTTGCAAATTAAAATTGTTACGAGCGAAGTGATTTACTTGAACCTGTCTCGTCTCATTTTTACAATGTTTACGCAGAATTTTGCAAAATACAGAAAACCAATAACAAGGTATAACAAAGAATGTAAATGATGTTCAGGTACAGATATAACATTTGATTGGACGAATCAAAACAAACTATTTTTATATGCAAATAAGTGCACAACGCAAAAATGAGACAGCATTTCAAGCATGTGTTGTTTACAATTCGAATGCTACTTTCACCAAAGCTTCCAACAATGTGTATAGTTCCCATCAAAAAGTTAAAAATACTTAATATACTTCAATTTTAATTTCAGACTTACTTGCGCCACTGTCAAATAAAAGACAAAATGTATGCACTATAAACATACAAAGATTACACAGATATATAGGAATTACTTAAAACTCCAGTTAATTGCAACTAAACATAACACCCAGTAAAGTTTTCATAGCCAAATTGTTGTTGAGTAGATTTATTCTTGTTTTGTTAAATAGATAGCGATGATAATGACGATGTATGTACAGTTTGCGGAACAGTTTGGTCCAAACAGTGGAATAATAAAACATTTTCATCTATCTAGACGTCCCGTGTCGGCTCCGTGTACAGAATTTTTATGTATATATGCAAGATAGTCATTAGTATATGATGTGCAAAGGGGATTTGTTTAATCTGTCATAATTGTTAAACAAATTAAAGAAGGTATAAATATTTCCCGACGCTGACACAGTGCATGAGGAATTTCCTTCAAAACCTCCAGTCACCATAGTATTACAACTATTACATGTACAATCTGTATTGATTTCAATTCATTATGTTCATATATTTTGTGCTAGACTTAATATAACATGCGAAGGGTATTACAGCTTTAGAAGTTTTAATTTTATGTGACAAATTATCATAAAACAAGCGCGCATTCCCACATTTTAGCACGAGCTTAATTTGCCGTTAAAATTGGGTATATATTAAATGTATAAAGC